CTCGGAATCGGTGGAGTGTCGAGAAAAAGCATATTTGGAATTCGGAAAAAAATCTACCGAAAATATTCAGAAAATGGTCGGAACTCCGTATTTTGTGCTTCTCCTAGAGCTACGGTTAAACTGTTTTAGTTGATTACATTGCAGTGAAAAAGTACCTTAGCCAATAGAACACCTGGCTTCAGTCCCTTGCCAAACGAGACAACGCCATCACATGGCGTCTTGACTTTGCCAACGACTTCTCCATTAACTTTGAACTCCAACAGAACTGTATCTTTCAGAACGAAAGTGCCATCAATAGCCTTCAGGTGGCCAGCTGTACACTCTCCGTCTTCTTCGAAGTGAACTTCCATCTAAAAGAACTATACTATTGGCATCCGAATTCAACTACAAAATCAAAATACTTTTCAAAAGAACCCTTGCCAAGATATTTAGCAATAAACTAGTTGTAGAATACTCAAAAAAAAAGTCAGAAATTTCTGTTCTCTAGGTATCTGTAAACAAGACCTGTGAGTTTCGGATATAAGATGCGGCAATGTGAAAACCGGGAGAGAAAAAATGCAGATATAAACGAAGAAGCATGTGGAGAACCAAAAAATTTTGAAAACATTTATTCCAAAGGGAATAAAGAGGGAAACAAATATCATGAAAAAGAACCAATAATTCAGACGACACACTATGAGATATAGGAGTCGATAAAAACAGAAAGAAAATGGATAAAAATGAAGAAAAAAAAAGTTAAGTTCATAGGAAAACAACTGTTTACAAGGAAGATGCCTCTCTAGAAGGGCTTCTACAAGAAATTGAATCGGAATGCGGAGAAGTGAAAAGAATATTGGGACCGAGAAATGACGGGGGTGAAATATATGTTTGAGGGGGAGCTAGAACGAATATTCAAAAAGAGATAATTAAAGATCGAATTTAATTTTGATACTTTTATGCTTCGTGACTGTTGCCTCATTTGATGGACGAGAAGATTTTTTGTTCTGAAAGTATTCACGAGATTAACGAGAAACACTAGAAAAATCTAGGTTCAAAAACGTACCTTTTCCTTATCTCCGCTGCTCTCCACATCCGTTTCCTCTTTTTTGCGACGATCTTGCTTCGAGCACTGTAAAACCCGGCAATGCTACTATCGTTAAATTCCTAATTCACTCACTTCTTCATCTTCTTTAGCAGACGACGATGAGGAGTATTGGCGAGCTCTGAGACTTGATGTTGGCTTGCTAGAAGATAGAGAGAAGGAAACAGGTTTACGAGATGGTGCAGATCTCGAGGAAAATGTTGAAGAGGCTGAAGCATTTACAGTGTTCGCTTTTTGAAGTCTTTCGTGGACCGATTTTCGTGGCTTTTCGATCTGTTTGGCACTATCCTTGTCCTTCTCTTTATCCTTCTCCCTTTCCTTCTGGCGTTCTTTTTCTTTCTGACGTTCTTTCTCTTTGTCTCGTTCCTTCTGGCGTTCCTTCTCTTTTTCTCGCTGCTTCACCTTTTCATTATCATCTTCGCGTTCCTTTTCTTTGTACTTATCGTGCTTCTTATCTTTGACTTCTCTGTCTCTTTCCTTTCTTCTCCAGTCCTTTCCATTTTCTGGATCCTCTTTTTTACGATCACGATCTTGTTGATCATCTTTGTTTTTCTCTTCGCGTTTGATCTTCACCTGCGGAGCCTGTAACTTCTTTGAAAAAGTTTTGTAAACTCATTAAATAAGGCCAAATTCACTTACATCACTATCATACTCATCAGCATTACGATCCCGCTTCCGCTCTTTCTTCTTGTCCTGCTCATCGATGTACCTTCTTTCCTTCTCGTGTTTCCTTTCAGTGCCAGCTTTTTTGTCTTGATACTTTTTATCCCTTGACTCACTTCCATCGTCCCGTTCTTTTTTTAAATCTTTGGAGCGATGATGATCTTTAGAATCGTTATTGTTTTCTTTTTGATTTCCTTTTGATCAAAGCTATCATCGTCGTCGTACTCTTTACTCTCTCCCCTATTCTTCTTTCTTTCTTTACGTTCTTGCTCATGATCACTATCAGCTTCTCGTTTCTCCCGTTTTGACTTCTTCTCCTTTTTGTGTTTCTTATGTTTTTTTCGTGATCTCTCTTCATCTTCATCGTCATCATCCTTCTTACGATGCTTTTCTTTTTTGCTTTTCTTGCTCTTCTTGTTCTTCTTATGCTTCTTTTCACCTTCTTCATCCTCATCAGCAGTGTTGATAGTTGAAGCCTGTGATTCTTTGTCTTTCAGCTGGTCATCGTCTTCCTTCTTGTTCGCCACCACCTCATCATCCTCTACAGATTGCTCTTCAACAAGAGGCATTTCCTCATCTTTGGTTTCAGTCACTTCGGCTTCACTGGTTTCTATGGCGTGGTTTGACGCAGTCAGTGACTTTTCACGAAGAGGCCCTTTTTCTTCTTCGTCCACAGGCTCGTCGTCTGCCGCAGGTTCATCATCTTCTTCTTCATCCCGATTCGGTATAGATCTGGGTGATGTACTGCTCTCGTGAAGTGGTGTTGAACCTTCTTCGTCTTTAACGTGCTCTTCTGACTCGACAGGAGCAATAGTCTCCGCTTCTTGAACTTGTACATTACCGTACTCTGCGATAATTCCGTCTATCTCGTCTTCATCCTTGGACTCGACATCTTTGTTTGTGCTGAAGAAAAATGAGTTTTAAAATGCATTTTTAGTGAATAGATCAAACTCTAACTATTAGAAAAAATACAAATGGTAACTGCAGACTGCCGAAAACGTACCATTCTCTATCATCATTTGATTCGCGATCATACTTCTTCTCATCGTCTCTGTTTCTGTCTTTGCGCCGTCCTTCGTCGCGAACTCTACGATGCGACGACGACGACGATGATGTCGCTTTCACATCTTTGCTTCTGCCGCTATTTCTCATTTCGCGACTATCACGGTGTTCCCGATAATCGCGGTGCTCACGATCTCTTTCCCGGTCTCTCCTGCGTTCATCTGATCGCTTTGAGCGCTCCTTCTCGACACTGCGCCTGTGCTTTGAATCTCGTCCACGATCCCGTCGGTTACGATTATGGCGGCTATTGTCATCAGAAGAATAGGATGTGTCAGATGAAGAGGTTGATCCTGATGAAGATTCTCTGAAATGAAAGGATTATCAAAAAATTATCCATAGAAAATCAATTCTTACCGTCGTCGACGACTTCTCGGATCATGTCGGTTTTTGCGCCTCGTTCTGTCATCCTTGTGAGATCGCTTTTTGCCACTGGTGTGCATTGATTCAGTAGCAGAAATACCTGATAGCGCTGCAAGTCTCTGTGAGAACGCATCGTCAAAGGGCGTTGTGCTGAAACTATTGAAATTTTAGAAAAAATACGTTTATAATCATACTTGTAAAATTCCGGGCCGGCCCGCCAAAGCCCGGGCCCGGCCCGGAAGGCCCGGTAGCAAAAATTTTGTCATTTTGAACCAAATTTCGAGCTCTCAATACAATTTTCTATTTTTTGTGCTTTTTGGATTGTTTGTCTGTTTGATCAAAAAATATCAAAAAAAAACTCGAAAAAAATGTTTTGATCGAAAAAAATCACATAAGGGTCCCCCCTTATGTGTTTTTTGAAATTTTCAAAACTTGTGGAAAGACAGGTCCGCCGGGCCCGGGCCGGGTTTCCGAAATTCGGGAAAAAGCCCGGCCCGGCCCGGCCCGTTACAAGTATGTTTATAATCAAACTTACTTATAGGCCGATGAAGCCGTATGAACAGCACTTGGGATACCAACTGCGACAGGAGTCTGGGAGTAAACAGGAATACCAGATATTCCTGGGATGCCAGGAGGAATTTCTTGTCGAAGAAACGGGGGTGGAAGGGTAACGTCTTGGATGACAACGGGAGTGGTTGACGGGATACCGGGCACATTTGGCATTGAATTGATGTAAGAAACTTGCGAGGCGGAAGATAATGGAATGGTTGGTGGAGCCGAAGACATTGGGACGACTACTGGTTGTTGTGCAATTAGTCCGCTTCCAGGTGATATCCCAGCCACGATATTCTGTCCTCCAGAAGCAGTGGGTGCTTTTAATCCAATTCGAATACGAATTTGTTCTGGCTCTTGTATAGTTTGGCCTGCTGGTAACTGACCAGGAGCAGATGCGCCAAGCCAGGCGGCGGCAGCATCGCGAAGAGTTTTATTTGGTATGATACTTGTAATGGATAGCTGAAAAAATTCAAGATAACAGAAGAGGGGACGAATAAGACTCACTTCTCTGCCGCAATCAGCTCCAGGACATTTTCGATTTTCTGGATCAATTATAATCTGCTCAATGCATTCAGCACAATACGAATTTCCACAACAGGAAGTGACGATTGCTTCCTTGAACAGAGACTGGCACAATGGACAGAGCAGCTCTGTAGGAACTTTGCGATCAACTTGAGCAGGAGAAGAGGATCCATCTTCGCCCTAAAAGTACGAGTAGGAAAAACAGTTAGATTAATATGGAGAATGTTCCCAAAATAAAATGTGTCCCAGAATTCAGTTATACCTTTTTGGCAAGCGTATCTTGACGAGCCTTCCAATGCATTATCGGAACAACGTACTTGCCGCTCGGATGCAGCATGGCTGCCGGATCGTCCGCTGTAGTTTCCATAAGCTCTTGTGATGGTATTCCAGTTGTTCGCTTCGTATTGAGCTGAAAATGAGATAACTTTTGCTGAAAATTCAAATACGTTTGTAGATAGCAGCGACAGCGAGTGTTGATGATGGCTCTTTGATGCGAAAACTGCAATTTGATTGAAGCAGAGACTATCAAATCTAAAACAAGAGCTGAAACCAGTTGGATTAAAATAACGAAATCAGAAAATTTTCCAGAAAATAACTACAAAACAGGGCCTTTTATCTTCGTTCATCGAACACACACAGAAGTTGATAAAAAAGAAAGAGCTCCGCGAGGAGGTACAAAAGAGAAAAAGATGGGTCGCGAACGAATCCTTTTTAGGCATTACCATCGGGCAATTTTTGTACCAATGTCCAGGTTGATAGCAGCGATTGCAAGTGTACGTCGGTGGTGGTGGTCCAGTCATAATTCCTTGTGGTCGACGACGAAAGCTAAAAATGCATGAGCATAAAATAGAAAACTCAGTGGTCTATACTCACTTAGCTGGATCATATGCTCGAGTTGATTGATCACGAATGTGATTGAGACGTTCAGCCTCATCCATGTTTTCGAATTCCTCCTGAAATGAGCAAATTGTTTGAAAAAATCCATCTAATTTGTCTTACCGATGCAATATGAGTACTCGGATCAAGAGAAGTCGAACTAGGATCCGCTTGATTTACCATTCCAGAATTGACTCCAGCTCTGAATAACGATTGCAACTTTACGATATCAAAGGAATCGACTCACTGGACTTTCTGAACTTTGGCCGCATCCTTTCGCGGAGATCTTTGCACTATTATTGACGAATTTCTTGGAATCAGCTCATCATCACTATACATCTTTTTTGTGTGAGCATTCTGAAAAAATATTGAAATTTAGTTACTATCTTCACAGTAAGTGAAAAATAGAGCGAAAAAGGTCTTACCTGCAGCTGCAAGTCGAAGAGCTCGAGTTTCAGGTTTTCTTTCGCACAAATTTCGCGAACTAGTTGTTCTCCGCGTATATGCAATCCGTCGAACTGCAGAGTTTTGTAATCAAGCTCCGCACGGAACTTGTAGTGAATCGACGACATTTAATTACCTTTGTTCCAAACGAATTCTGAAAAAAAATGATTTCGATAATAGCTAAATAGTGATTGATGAATTTGGACGGAAAATTCGAAAAACCAAGTCTGAGTCGGTAATGAAAATAGATGCAATTCAGTAAAAATCGCAGGAAATCAGAAGAAAATAGAAAATCGAGCTAAATTTCGAAAGTAGACACGAAGCAAGGTGTTGACCGACACTCAGTAGAAATCCTAGGTCGCGGCCACTCGATAGCTCTTCCAACGCGTTCAAACGCACATTTGCGCACATTTCAAATAGATTGTGCAGACCTAGCCGATTGAGAAAACTGCTGGTAGGTTACAAAATAACTGGGCCGAACCTGCAGTGGGAAAAATCAATAAGCAAAATTGTGGTCCCCTCAAGGATTTCCCATGCAAAATAATTGATCGGAACCTGGGGAAAATATCTGATAGATTTCGGCAGTGCGCACATATTAACTGAATGGAAAAGAAAAGAAAATAAGTTATGTATTAAACTAAAATCTGTGGACAGACTAAAAAATATAATTCAAAACAACGGGGGAGACGAAGAGAAAACGACGAGTAGTCACATGGAAGGAAACAGAAAAGAACATACAAACACATCTGTGCAGTGTGTGTGGTGACGGGCAACCGACGACCGGGTGTTGCAAAATCAATAGAAGAAAAAAAAGAACGCAGCGATGTGAAAGGAATATTCACTGAAAGAACATTAGAAAAACAAATAAACGGAATGTTAAAAGTTAGAATTTCTAGTTTTATTAACATGTTCCGGTCTTTCAAAAACAACTGAAGCCTCAGGTAAACGATTCTGAATTAGATCTGACTTCATTCGGAATTAGATCTGGGTTCGTTCGTAAATAGAAGTGGCATGATCTAATACAGAATTTAGCTGATCTAATTCCGAACGAACACCGAATGAACTACGAACGAATTAGATCTAATTCCGAACAGATCAGCGGGATTTCGGAGCATCGTAGCGAGCGCTTTTTTTTTGTAGATTGACATAAAAATAAAGAAAAATTCCTTCATCGAGAAAAACGCATCGAAAAATACGCCGAAAGCCCTTAGGGACGAGCTTTTTTTCTAGGTCGCCCGGTGAGTAAAAGCGCGCGAATTCAAACTTTCAAAATTTTTTCGCTCGTTCTCACTTTTTGAGACCGTACCGATTGGAAAGATTTGAAATCCGAAAGAAACGAAAGCGAAAGAAACGAAACAGAAAGAAACGAATCAGAAAGAACGCTAAACCGTGCAGTTTTGCTAAAATCGCATGCGCAGGCTGCAAAAAGGGGCGGAGTTTTCTCTAAA